AAAAAAAAAAAAAAAACTGAAGGAAAAAATGAACCATTAAGATTGCAATTTAAATTGGAGGACCAAAATCTAAATAGGAAGAGTTAAAATGTTTGTTGGTAGAAAAAGAGAAAATAAAAACGACGTGTTTACATAGCATGACGTTATGAAATTTTATTTTAGAAATGAAATTTCAATGTAAACCTTGAAATATTCAAAATTACAACGTGAGTATATTAAGAAAGTTGGAAATTGATGGAAGTTACGATGAACAACAGTAATAAATTATTTCTGTTTTATTGATGTTATATTATTTCGTCATACTGTTCTATAATACGTGTAAATTTATATGAAAATAAAATATAGGTGTATCGAAAGTAACGATTCGACAATCAAAAGAATTCTTCGAAAACTCTTCAAATAAATTTTAAAGAAACGATCTATTATATTAAAATCAAATATGTTTATCGTTTTGTACATAATCAAAACGATAAACATATTGAATACGAAAGAAACAAGAGATCTTTATAAATCGGGAATAAATTAACAGGCCTGGAACGAGAACAGAGGTTGTAAAATTTATAAATTGGTCCAAGAAGAGGAGAGACTATTAACTTTCTGCGAGAGCGGAAAGAATCGGGGGAATTATCGGGAAATAAAGAAACAAAGTGAGGAACGGATCGAAGTGGTCGATAATGAGGTGATTTTATGGGATCTGCTGCGCGTAATCTACCGACCTCTCCGCGGCTCGTTCGTCACGGTACGCCTACACGCGCGCGGACAAGCGCGACCATGAGCTTCGACGCGTATTAAGAGATACACGCGAGATACGTTCAACCACTTCTAATTGCGCCGCTCATCTGACCCGAGTTCCTTCACCTTGGCCGTGCACTTGACTTGGCTGGAAGGTGATCCGGATTCTTCGGCGTCTTTTTCTTTTTTTTTTTTTTCTTTTCTTTTCTTTTTTCTCCGTCCGCGTCGTCCTTCTCCTCCATTATCGTTCCTTGTGAAATCAACAACGACACGGTTTCGTAACTGTCGAGCGACGTCCCGAGTTGAATAAGCTTGCAAGTATGCACAGTGGCTTGCGAAAGTGTTCGCTTATATAACACGGTATCGTGTCATTACACGTTTGTATTACTTTTTTTTTTTTGATAACTATTACACATTTATATTACAATAATTTTTAGCCATATACGTCACGATAGAAAGTTCTTATAATTGTTCGAACATTCTCGTGAAAACAACTGTATAGAATAAGTCAGCACGAGTCTTTCCAAAAGCAATCACTGAACAATTACATCTCTTGTTTCTACTTCATTGTCAGTGTTCATACATGAAAAAGTGAATAATTTATCTCCATGAGTTCATTTACTGTAACCTAATGATACAGAGGATTGTAAATTCTAGAAAATAATTTTTGTAACGTAATCACTTTTCAATTTCATTCATTTGGATAGAAAAATTAATCTGCATCTATATTTTCAAAGTATTTTAGTTTAAGATATACCAAAAATATAAAATAATTAAGAGACTTTGAATCTCATGATTCAATCACCGCGTTGCTTTGCGGAATGAGTGTCCAAATTAAAATTGTACAGTAAAGTCTATGAGAAAGCGGCACAGCCGAGGAGTGAAAGAATTTATGTAAAAGAATACCATAATGGACAAGTCTCGTGAAGTATTTCAAGTTTTTCGTATAAAAATTCCATTGACCTTCCTAAGCTTCTTCCGACCATACATTTAGCTGATGGAGTGGTTTCCTCAGTTTCGCATTTTTGTCAAGGGAGAATTTGAAAAATTGGAAGAGAGGGTGTTATATATTGGCATCGATGAGGAGGTAACCGACGTGTCGCCCTGGGAAACTCCTTTCGGGAAAATTGACTTCGAAGTAGTTTGAAGTTAAGCTTCTTATTTCGGCGGCTCTGATTTCCCACCGAGAGTGCACCGTGTTCCTATTTGATTATTCCTTGAACTCTAGATATTCGCTTAAGTTTCGAAGAAGATTTCTAGTTTTCAGGTCTTAACGAGGGATTTCGACTTCCCTCGAATTTTCCACTTTTCGCATTTTGAAACATGCCGCGCGACGATTTTCCCCAGAGAACAGAAAATCTCACAGAAGAACAGAGAAAAGTACATCTGCTCCCAGAATAAATATCTTACGGATCCTTCACTTCGCGAATGTAAAATCACTTGCAGAAACTCCAATTCACATATAGCTTCTTTCATAAAAATTTCTGCTTTCCAATGCCGATGTTTTACTGTGAAACATGCGGTACTTAGACAAGTCGCGCATATTTCGGGAAGAAAGAGGAAAGTTTATCACAGTGTGTCGTCGATAGTTGGATCCCTTCATAATCGCAGTATCTAAATGGAAGAGGTATTAAACAACTTCTCTTAAAGCTCTCCTGTCTAGCCACAATTGAAAAGCGGTACTCAATAACGCGAGTTCAGAAGAAACGAAGAGGGGAACACAACGCGTTGACCTTTAATGGATTAAGGGGTAGTAAAAATCAGGGAAACACAATCTCCAGGCAACCTGCAAATGCCGAGACATAACCACTAAACCGCCGATTCCCGGCTACGGAAGAACCACAGACAGAGGCTTGCCTGACTATCTCTCGACGGCTAGATGGAAAACGATCCGCGGAATTCATCGGCGTGGCTGGGAAGAAAAGGAGGAAAGGACGTTGGTAGATAGCCGGAGCTAATCCAACGTTTCATTGGACACGCGCGCCGCTTTAATGCCGTAATATATTCCGGATAATGGGAAGCTGAATGGCGTTCAAGGTCAAGGGTGTGCAGCGCATTTCCCATAGGAACCGGGTGTTCCGTGACAAACGCCGTCGTCCGAGGCAAGTTCTTCCTGCTTCGATACGCCAAAAACAAGCAAACAGGACACGCCTGTGTAAATACGACGACTGGACACGCGACGATTCGTCGGCTGTCCGTTTTCTAATCGGCCGAGGATTTCTCTTGCGGCGACCAGGATTCTCTTGGACGATAATTATTAATAACAATTTGGGCGACAAGTGATGGTAAATAATAATGATTTGATCGTTATCGGATGTGACTTGTAAAAATATTGTTGTTACTGCAATTATCAATAATTAATTATTGATCAATGTTATTAGTATCATTTGTCGATAATAATTTAATAATAAGTAACATCGTTACTACGACTAAGAATAGAATGATTATAATTGTTAACGACTGAAAGATCAGGTTAATCAAGTTTAAACCGAGACAAAAGCAAATTTTAAAAGTGAACTTTCAAATGATATTTCTGAATGTTTTAATTGTTTAAAGATTATCTGATGTTTAAAGTATTAAAAGCGTTAGAAGGGTAAAAGGTGAAAGTGTTGGAAGTGACAAAAGTGTATAAAAAGTGAAAAGAGCATTGCAACCAAACGTTGTGACATTATTCTATGCGATCTATCCTCGATCGCGCTGCATGGCACTAAAATGGTTAAATAATAATAACTTGATCATTATCGAATGGGATGTATAGAAGTTTTATTATTGTAATTGGCGAAACTTTAGCTATCATTCCCTTCGAAATACTCTCTAAGTTGATACAGGGACGAGGCAATCTCGAGTCCATTGTCGAATCATACAACCGCATATTCTATCACGTCCATATTCTAGTAAATTACTGCCGACACGTATCACGATATTCATAGCTCGTTGATATTTGGCAGAGTGATACAAAGGTATAGACTAGCGACTCGCAAAGCCATTAAACTTTGTCTGATACCGACGCTGAGATACCGATAAAGTCCAGCCAATTTTTGTTTGCACGGTAGTATCCATGATAGTAACAAAATTCAAAAATGGACTTTGATTTTTAGAGTCGGTGCGAAATCTTTTTACAAATACACTTAAAGTAATATGACTTAAATGTTAAAGATTTAGTTTTTAGGTGTCATAATAAAAAGTATACTTTCGACATTCTGTGCACTTTTGCATTTTCTTCGAATATTGAACAAACACGTATCGGATAGGACAATCAATTTGGTACTGTTGAACAAGAGAATTTGTTGATAACCGAGACTTGTGATATAATGAAATTTTGTTAATGATGTTAATTCAATTACGCAAGTAGACATTGTAGGAATTATATACGTAATTGTAAGCAATATTGGATTTCGTCTAATGGAGTATGCAAATTGGTCGAGTTTCTTGATTACATTGTTGGATTAGATTACTTGTAAGGAACTTGAGCCCCTGGAGGATTGAAGAGGTTTCCCGCAATTAGTTTTTATTAATTGAGAATGAAGTGAGTTTCGTTGTTTCTTCCTTGCAGCATTTTCTGGGAATTGCAGTTGGTTTTCTTTTTTCGGAAATTTCTTCTATCTTGAGAACGAAAAAGTTCTATAACTAACTTCGTAATGACAAAATTACAAATCGTTCCTCGTGTTTTTGTGTTCAGTTCTATTTTTCACGTTTTGGTTTTATTTTTCAATACGCGTGACTCACTTGACATTAAATTTTAATTAAATCTTTAATTATCGTTCAATAAGCTGAATCGATGAAATTCTAATCGATGTAAGATCGACAAATAATCTTAATAATTTCGAGCCGACACATGCAACAAACATTCGTCTATAAAAGAGGAAGAAATCAGGAACCAGGAACCAAAGAACCAGTTTACGCACAAAAAATCATTTTTATTGTCGAGCATGAACAGCGATCAATAATTCAACGAACGATCGATCGTCGAAGTGATTTTCAATGCATACAATGACAAAGGCGACGAAGTATTAAAAAAGAAATAATAATAATAATAATAATAAAATAGTGCGCCAGTAGAACGAGCTGTCGACCAATCATCGATCGAAACTCTCGCCCTCTGCTCGCTAGCGACCGATCATCCGGAGGAACACGCCTCTGAAGCATTTCTCTCTGGATCAGCAGTCACAAATATCCCTTAAGGTCTCATCATCTCACAAATCAGTTCGTTTCCCAAAAAGCACGCGCAGAATCTTCTTCTTCAAAAAAAAAGAAAAGAAAGAGAAAAAAGAAAAAAATTCTCGATCAACATCCCCAGGTTACATTTAACGACACATCTAATGAAGATAAATCGGTACGCCGACGACAGGATGAAGCTGGGCAATAGGTGCGCTCTTGACTAGCCACGCTGGTTCGATGTTCACCTGCGAATTCCCGTGAATCTGACTGATCCCATGACTGGAGATGGATGTAGTGACGGTGGTGGCTGCAGCCGAGCTGGCTTCCTTAGCGACCGGCACCACTGGAACCAAATTTGCTTCCTTGGCAATCGGTACTTCGTTGACCAATCTAGCGGTAGCAGGTGCTTCATCCTTGTTCTCCACAGCTGTATCTTCTTCTTTAGCAATGTTAGTTGGAACAGCAGAGACAACCTCGGCGTCCTTAGCCTGCTTAGTGAGTCCATGAATCTGACTGACACCGTGGCTGGAAATAGACGTGGTTACGGACGCGGTGCCAATTTGAGCAGCTGGTATGATAGGTACAGCTTCCTTGGCGAGCACGGATACGACGGGGAGCGAACCGCCAGATATGATGGTAGAGGCAAGAGGAATAACCGCCGGAGAAGACCGAACGACGGTCAATGGCGCTGGATCTATCTTAACCGCGTTTTTCAGCTCGGGTCCCTCGATGCCCAACTGCTTGTGCAACTCTATGCGGTTCTCGTGGTAAGTGGGCGCTCGAGCCAGCACCGGCAAGTCTCCCAATATGGTTTGCACCGGCAGGATCGGCTGCAGATCGACCGGTTTCGCCTTGGCCTCGCCCTCCGTCACGTCGAGACGCGCGTTGTTGTGCACTTGAACTTGGCTCTGATGCGAGGTCGCCAACGGAACGCCACTGGACAGTAACAGAGGTTGTAACAGAGTCTGCGACGATGAATCTTGTGCGCCGGCCTTTGGAAGATTTTCGGATTTCTCATTCTGGTTAGAACTGGCGTCTTCGGATTTCTCATTCTGATTAGAACTGAGACTGGCGTCTTCTAAGCTACGTCTTCTGCGGCTGGTTGCTTTGTCCGCGCTCCTAGCGAGGATGATGTGAGATAGTTCGTTGTTCGAATTCTCGTCCGAAGGGATATTTGTCGCGGCCACGCGGAATCCGTTCTTGTCAGCGACGTAGAACGCTGATTGAAGGATTCCATTGGCGTCCACGTAGCTGTAGGATCCGCGGAGAACACCGTCGGCGTCTTTCACTTCCTCTTTCGCGGATGGTCCACCGGCGTAGCTGTAAGCATGCACGCCTGTCCTCGTGTCTTGGAACTGATTGAACACCGGGATCGGGCTGGACAAGTACGCGTACGGAATCAGGTTGAGCGGTGTGCCTGAGACTAGGCTCAGAGCCAGGATCAGCGGAATCTGAAAAGTGAATCTTACTCAGTAACGAGATTAGGCAGGGAAGAGTTGAAAAGACTTAAAAATTCTTGAACAGCTTGGCACATCGTCGTTGTTCAAATATCTTTGTCTCTCGGAGAGATGACAATAATTTTTTAACACAGTTTTAGAATTACTGAGGCTGAGGTTTACAAATTTTGGAGCAAAGTGCAAGGTGAATTTCAAGATGTTACTTCCGTACAAAATTTTTGTTCGAAGAGAAGATAATGATTTTTAAATACATGTATTTAAGAGTTCTTTGGCATTCTTCGAATGATAATGCTTGATTATTTTGGGATTGAATACTTTATTACTCTTCGTATTTAGTAAACTGAAATTCCTCTAAAATATTTTGTAATTTCCAGTCGCTAAAAATAAATACTATTCTATCGAGTTATTTATATATATATATAATATTAGACTGGCTTTTTTATATATTAGCTATAAAATTCATTGGAATAAAGGAAATTTCTTTGGAATATCTATGATTTCTAAAAATTTCCTAAGAATGGAAAATTCTATTTCGATATCAAAAATCGTGACAGTTTCAATTTCGAACTGGAATCCGAGGGAAACAAATCTTCCTTAGGATAACGGGCTCTAGAATCCTCTCAGGGTTGACAATTCGACGAATCGTAGGTCGAACTTTACGAACGATGGGTATTCTCGTCGCGTCAGAAAGGGTGAGTTTATACTTGCATGAGATTCGTCTCTCTTTACGAGCCAATAACAGGCGAACGAGTGGCCACTGTAGCACCTCGAAACGCACAAAGGTGATCGAGCAACTCGTGGAAACGAAAACGCTCTTTTTGCATCCTTTACGTTCTCTCTGGCATTGATTTTCGTATTGTGACGGTCATTTGACTTTCAAAAACGTGAAACATCCGCAATTGTGACGAAAAACATTTCCCACGGTGCTTTTGTTTTTAAAGGCACGAATTTGGAAAACTCTGTCACAAACTCTTTTCGTGTGAAAGACGGAATTTAAAATTTAAAAAAAAATAATTATGGACTAAATTATAATTATAAGAAATAAATATTAATCGCTAAAACAATCGATTCAACATCCAATATATATTCAATAGCAACGATTCATAACTAAATTGTGAATATTCCTGCGCATTTTTAAAAATATAATTAAAAGAACGAAATTAAATAGATGATAGTATTACGTGCGATCCGTAAATTTTTTCCATCTTCAAATATGTCTTAAAATTCGCCATCTATTCATCAGTCAGACAATAACAATAGAAAATAATAATAACGCAAATCACAATCTCTCTGTTGAGAAGATTGTTTGATCTCCTCTTTCACCCCGATAGACGGTCGTCAAATTCTAAGCTCTAAACAAGAGAAATTTTAAAAGCAGGAAGCTACAACTTCCATTCTTCCATTAATCTTCGTTAATTCTCCGGTAATTGCCTCCCAATCGGCATCAATTTTTCACGAAAACTCTCAATTTCTTAACAGTGAACCACACCATAGAAATTCTTCCCTTTGAAAGTATCTCAGTCCTCTCATATTCAATCTCCGAGTTGATCCAACCAATTGGACTCAGCTGGTCCTTGGTCCAATAAAAGAATGAAAGATCCAAGTAAAGTATCGGGGAAATGCCACTTACCAGCGACTGCATCGTGCGTTCGGTTAGTGTATTCCCTGTGCGAACCTCCTTGCTCGACGAAGGACTGTTCGGGCTGTGCACCTTGCTTCCGATCTGGTTTTGACTTATATACATAGCGGAGGGGACGAGCGAGTGTCTTCGAACCAGGAACCCGCGGAATCGTCGAAGGACAGGCGGATCCGTTCACCGAATACTCGGAGACGCGATTCCTCGATCCGAGATCCGGCATCCTTCGCCACGCCCTTCACTTCTTCTTCTTCTTCATCGGCCGGCCGTTTATTTGCTCGTCTCTTGTTTTCTCGCCGCTTCGGCTTCGAAACTAGATCCACGTTTTCTGTAATGGGATACCAGACGCTGCTCGCGGACACGAATACTTTACTCGATGGTTTGTTCCATTGGAAGAATGGAATTAGTTACCAGGCCGGCTGGAATTTGCTTGAGGTTCTACAAGAGTAAAACTATCGAATAATGTACGTACGTCGGGACAAAGTTGGAGGAATTCGAATGACTGATATACGATATGGAACAATACACAGCGTAAAGATACTAATCGTTTATATTCGCGACGACACTCAGAAAATGCAATATTTGAGTTTATCACTGTGAGAATGTTGCAGAGACAGTCCTTGATCAGTTACTGTGAAAGTCTTTTTCACTTATCTTCGTAATTTAGTCGGTAGACTTATTCTGATCTTTTCTTTAATACTATGTATAATGCTGTATTCTATAAATGTGCCTTACTATGAATTTTATCCTGATCATCCTTGCGAACAAACGAGCATTGACAAAATGCAAGAATGTATTACTTTGAATTGATTAACAAATTACAGTACTGTTCAGAAACCGCAGTGATGTGCTGCTTTCTTCGCAATTGAGTGACATAATTTACAGAAAATTTTCAATAATGAAAAGTTCAAGTTCTTACTACTTTCAATGCATTTATCAAATTGCTGAAAGAAAGAATGAGAAAGTATCTGTTTAACCCGAAAATTAAATAAAAGAACAAGTTACACAATGGATTTCAATACTTTTGTAGTATCGTAATTAGTACCGAATAAAAGTACTGAGTTTTAAAACTATTGCTTCTAGTAGCCTTCTAATCAAATAATTAAAAAAATATAATAAAGCAACATTACTTTCACCAAATATAGAAGTCTCTCTGTATGCCTTTCTTGAATGGGTCCTCGTGGACACAATAGAACGCGTGATTGCGTTCTTCCATGCCTTTCGTGGCAACAGTTTCATCGTCCTTGGTCGTAGTATTTTACAGTACGGTAAAATTGTTTGGCTGCCGCGGCTTTTTTCCTCCTCAGTCGTCCAGGAATCCTCCCTTGTTACAATAAAATCGCCACGCCAAGGCTATTCTCGATGACCCGGACGTGGCCGATCGAATGATCGAACGAACGTGGTTATCCTGTGTTGTGTATCGCGAACATCCTGGTTCTGGATTGTAATGGCGACGTGTTACCCCCGAGAATTATTTGTCAGTGTCAACGAAGACACGCGGCAAAGGCAAGCAGAGTGCTTCGTTGTGCTGTTGGAAGATGCTGCAGGATTCTTCGATTTCAGTTCTAAGTGGTAACTCTCTTCTTGATCTGTTTTTCAATTTGCAAATATATAAGTATTTGTAAATGATTGAGTATCTATAGGAAGGTTGGTGGAAAATCTTTGGAGAATCGACATTTTTTTCGTAAAAATAATGATAATGAGTCTTCTTTTTAAAAGATTTATGTATTTAAATATTGTATAAAGTAGCTTTTTGTCGGTCCTCTAAAGATTAAGAGAAGAGAAATAAAGATATTAATATGTTTCCTAAAGCTATTGTGAATTTGTAATAGTTAATTGCAGAAGTTTTAACATTCGTCTCAATCCTTTTGATGATAATTAATTAGAGTCTTGAATTTTATGATTTGTAAGATAAAATCTCCAGTTTTCTCCAGTGTTGAAATAGTAGATAAGACATTTGAATTTAAAAGAAGGACAGAAACGATAACACGTTCTCTTGTACCAACGTACTTTGGTCTCTTATGGGGATTTCTTGCCGTTGGTCGTCGCCCTATGGAAAGTCAGCGTACATAACTTTGTGTAGGCGACGGTGGTCACTCTCTGGTCCCCAGATATCGAGCCTTGATCACCTTGATAGCCGTTTGTTCTTCAGCTACCGAGAATTGCCAAGCACGCACGTAGGAAGTGACAACACTCCCTCGTAGGCGAGATTCACTCGGCAAAACCGTGGACAATCAGGGAGCAGATACCTGTCTACGTGAGAAACCTGAAGTATGACTAGGAAAAAGAAAATAAACGTGGAAAAGGCAGTAGAACAACGTGGAAGCGTGATAATTGTAGAAGAAGGAACTGTGATAATCGTGGAAGAAGGAACCGTGAATAGTCGAAGGAAAAGACAAAGTACCTCTGTTTCTTTCTCTTTCCCTCTCTTCCCATTTCTTTATACGTTACTTTTGCTTACAATGTTATTGTAAATTAATATTTTCATTCTTGTAATGAATTAAACACATAAAGCTAAAAAAAAAAGTATTAATTGCAATGCATTGCTGATGTATGTAAAATTGCGAAGACTATTAAGTGGAAGTATCGTCATTGTCTTTTATATTTAATCTCAAGGCACTATTTTTAGATACATTTCGATAGAGTGATTCTTAAAATTATTTTACTGAAATATTCTCATCTATTTGCTTTTTACTAAATCATTAATATTCTATACTCAATTTTATACAAGTTTTTGTCATAAAATAGCTTTAGAATTTTATTTATTACATTAATACACTAATTATATGCCTGTTATGCTGTAAATGTTACAAATTTTACGAAGATACGAATATATAGTGAAGAATTCCAAGACGCCACGGCCAGCATAGCATTTTCAAAAAAAAAGAAAAAAAAAGTGCTAGAAGCCACTTGGACCACGCCTACACTTCTCGAGATCCGGCCACATATTTGCGGAGGTCGCCTATGTCGTAAACAACATAAACATAATGCCGATGGACCACACCCGGAGTATATATGCGCGTAAATATACATGCAGAAAGAAGTTTCTTGTTATAACAAAGATTGTGACACGATATTAGTATTCGTGATAACCAGAAAATATAAAATAAAAAAATAAAAACGATTAAACTTAAGTTGCACTAAGAGTTAAACTAAGAGTTATTAAAATCTTATTACAAATATAGTTTATTTTGTATTGGACGGGTGATCATCGTGTAAAACATTAAAGCAATGTATGTATTATGTACGCTGCGTTACAAAATTAAAGAAAAAATGATATATTTGGAGAGAGATATTTGTTTCAATTTTAATTTCAATGTAAGAACAGAACTAGATACAAATTTAATTTTCTTCTGGCTCGATTCGTAAATGTAACACTTCTAGACCTCTGATTACAGTCATTCTCAAAATTCTGGATGATTCTACGGCTTTGTAGATACTAGCGGAAGATTCTACCTCTTCGTCATTGACGTGCGTTACGATATCACCAGCTTGTAAACCTCCTCTGAAATTTATACATAAATATATTAAAAACAATTAATTTTGTAGTACAATATGATTTTTAAAACGTACAAATGTGCTGGCGATCCCTCATTGACTTTATAGATCAAAACTCCACGTCTGATGTTATACGGAACTCCCTTCAATTTTTTTTGCAATTCAAAGAAAAGATCGGGGGTAAGAGTGAGCATCGTGACTCCGATATATTGAGTTTTTGTACCAAACTGTGCATCTAGTATATTATTTTATTTTATAATTTTCCTGTTAAGTACTTTTTCGTTTTTTAGTCTTAAAATATCATACCTCTGCCTTTCCTGCGCATTTCTGCTTTTTTTAAGAAATCTTTAGCATAATCTATAGGTATTGCAAAAGAAATGCCAGATGTTACTTTCATTGCATTTATACCAATTGCTTCTGCATCCAAATTAACCAATGGACCACCTGAATTCCCAAACTAAAAGATCATATTTTTAATAGGAAAATAATATGAATTAGAAATTATGAAATACTAACAGTGATTGCAGCATCTGTTTGAATATAAGCCATTTGTTTATTAAGAAGACCAAGCTCTTGACTTTGTCTGTTCACACTGCTAATTACACCACTTGTTATTGTGTTACTTAAAGCTAATGGAGATCCAATAGCCACTACAAATTCTCCTGGTCTAAGATTTGAGGAAGAACCAAGCTTCATTACAGGCAAATTTGTCTGTACAGAAAATGGATAATCACAATTTGAACATATGAAAACACATTATTATGTAAAAGTCTTGTATTATCTACAACCTTGTTAATTCTCACAGTTGCAAGATCACTGTGTACATCAAAGTCTTCCACAACACCATTATAAGTACTTCCATCATAAAGACGTACCTGTGAAATAGATTGCATAAAAATTTCTGAAAGAACACATGCGATATTAATTCGTGTAATATAACTGTAGTTGTACAAAGTCACAACAGTTACCTTAACAGTTGTATTAGGCTTAGCACTAACAACATGAGCATTTGTCAATATCAAACCATCTGATTCAACAATGAAACCAGATCCGTTGCTTATATTAAATGGTCTACCTGTTTGGAATCAAATCTATTTTCTTATTGATGATTACTGAAAACTGCAATTATCTAAGTGGCACTTATCATTTAGCAGATTTAAATCTGCATTTACCTCTCTTGTTTTGAATCTCTATGTACACCACTGCAGGAGCTGACTTCTCCACCACATCGGCTATAAAATTATATCTATCTCTATTATTATTGTTGTTGTCATTTCCATCCCAGGGAATTTGTTTAGCATGTATTATGGACATCGGATTTATCAAGTTGCTGCGCCGGTTCCAATAATCGTCCTTCCATTTATACAAAATATAACCAACACCGGAGAAGAAAATAGTACAAAATAAGGCATTTCTAATTGCATTGTCGGAAATTCGAGACTTCTGATCTTGCGTGTACGAACGTTTGTATTGTGAAAAACGATCCACGCACGAGATTATTAGAAATTGTTTATACTGGAATTGATTTCTTTTTAAAATAGACCAAGATATACGTGTCAAGGGAGCAGCCATTTTTTGACTTCCAATGGTAGATGGCTATTTGTTGTGTAGTTTTGAACGTCAGTCCCGCGAAAGTTAACTAGTGAATCAAAATTTATGAATCAATGTATTGATTTAAATCGTGAAAAAGAGATATCTGATTTCTATAGAAACAAATTGAATTTTTTCTACCTTTTAGAAACAGAATTTGGTGAGTGGATGCGTTATTATATGTAGTAACTCAAGTCCAGAAGGTTATTATAAGAACAGCCTATATAAAATAGTAGTTGAGATCATAATAATAACTACATAACTTGATTTATTTATAGAATTATACAAGATAAGCGTAAACATTTCAAGTCTCTTTTATTGAAGTATACATATATTACATCAATAAAAAATCTTATGTACAATACACAGAAAAGGACTTACAACTTTTACTGTGGTTGTACTACGTTTGTTATTTCTTTGTATTTAAAACTCCGTTTAGTTTATTTCGTAATTTTATTCTTCTATGCATCTTTAGGTGTTCAGGCTTTTTCATTTTAAGCATAGATGTTACTTTTTCCTTTATTAAATTACTCTTCAATCTTTTCGATGCTTTTTTAATTTTAATCGTTGGTTCTCCCTTTTTTCCTTCAGATACATTCGAATCGTCTACCTTCTTTCTTTTCATGTTGATCATTCCTTTTTCGTCACTAGTTTTACGTTTTTCAACTTTCTTAATCCTCATTGTATCAGCATGAATTTCTTTGTTCATATCACACTCTTTTTCAGTATGACCTATATAAATAATAAAATTAATTTTGTATATTGATTCATTATAAATTCATTCGATTCACTTTAATTCATTATAAAAATGAAAATTACATACCAAGTTCGTTACACTTGAAACATTTTCCAGTAACTTTCGGCTTCTGACCGCATAAATGTTTCGTTACGATACATCTTTTACAAGTTTCACAATGCTTCCAATAAGGTTTCACACATCGTTTGCATATATTACAATGTTTATATGTGAGGCCATTTTTTGTGGTACATTCTTGACATTTTTTACAATGCTTATTTTCTTTAGCAACCCACTTCTGACATATTTTACAATATCTATAACCACTCGATTTTGGAAGTTTAATTAGGTTTAATGGTACATTTGTAAACATTCGAATAGGTGAAGGTGATTTGGTGGCATTGGAGCCTGTTATAAATAATGGATGATTATCATAAAATACTTTGTAATCAGTCATTTTCAAATCCTTCAAGCCTCCTGATACACCAGGTGGATTACTTTTTTTTTCCATTATAGTTTCCATAAAATATGGAAATATGAACATAATTTTTAAGCTATCCTCTTCGTTCTCTATATTATTCCATTTTTTGTAGAGATCAGAAATTCTTTTTATGGTCCAAGACATTGGCTCTACTCTACTACCAAATGGTGGATCACATATTAAATATGTATCCTTTCCCCCATTTTGTGTAAGAAAATCTTTAAATACAGGGATAGCACTCTCGTTAAAAAAATGATTATTCAATAAATTATACCAACAATAATTAAGTGGCCCAAAAAAATTATGCTGCAAACAAAAAACAATTCAAATGTTAAATTTATATAGATTATTTAATGAATTAGATTTTGAAGCACCATTTCTTTTTTCTTATACTTTCTTGCATAATTGATAACAATGCTAATAGTAATCGGTAAATGTACACAAAATATAACGATTCTAAGAAAAAATATATAGTATCCCAAAATGAAGTTTAGCAAATGAATTAAATGAATTTAATAAATAATCTTTATACAGATTATTCTTCACTTAATGAATTTTTTAATAAACTTACGAATCTTCCATCAAAATCTAATAAGAGTGTAGACATTGTGTTTTCATAATTTTCTAGAATGTATTCATGAATTTTTGGAGTACAGATACAAAGAATTTGTCTTGCTTTCAACTTCAGAAGTATATTCACTATTTCTTTTGTTGATTGTTTTGTGAAGAAGTACTGAGCCTCATGCCTAGAATTTTCTAAGGGTTTCAAAATTTCTGTTGGATGCTTTAATTGATAATCTGTAAGACCTTCTTTTACGTTATGAGTTTTGTGTTTGTTCGTCATGTCCTTCTCAGTCTTAGATATCAGTTGCTCACAAGTATGGCAGTAACATCTGTTCTCGGGTGATTCAGACATTATATCATTAAAGCGCATATATAATTGTCTGTGATGATAACGAGACATAAACTGCTTTCTTTGTTGTTCCCATTTAGCAGCTTGAGGTTTTGTTAATTTCTCTCCTTCTTTTAAATAGAACTTGCATATCTTTCTCTCGCGGCAAGCTGCACACACATAAAACTTTTCCAATTTTCCAGTTTCGTATGTGCCAAATAATAAAGTTGGTCCTGCATTATCAAAATATTGTAATATTATGAGAACATTCCTTAGAATTTTATGCTGTTACAATGTAATGTAAGAAATATTAATGAAGAATTACCATGCGGACACTGAGGATGTTTATTCAGATCGGACCAAAAGCACTCCATGTCTGATGTTCGATAAAACCGAAATTATAGAACGACTTAAATACAATTATCAACGTTTACCATACGAGTAAAGTTGACCAAACTTGTGAAGATATTTTATTTACTATATTATTAAATATTTATTTGCGAGGCTTCTTATTTTACGAACCATGCGCGAGGCATTTGCTCCAGTACAAACAAAGTATACCACGTGGTTTTGCAGCATGAAGTTAATCGAGTATCGTATTCGACTGTCGCTTTCGATTTTCGATATTATTTTGAAATATTAGCAAGAAACGTTTCTCGCCTACAGTATAAATTTGAATACCGCGATCGCGAGTTATAACACGAGACGAATCACTTTTAATAAATTAGTGAATTATAGTGATTGAACTGGAGAAAGTTCCCGGATTAATTGAATTAACGCGGGATAGTTGCTGTTTCAAAGTATGTATAAAATTTCAAAAAATTACTTTATAATACAGAAATTATTTCATTCAAAGTGGAACAGGGTATTGGGTGGACATAACTATTGTCTGCAGTTTAATGATTTAATTAATAAATCGTTTTCAATCCTTATAACTTTCAAATTAATGTCGAAAAGTTTAAATGAAAATTACAATTTAACAATTTGCGAATATTTTAAAGAAAATATTTATAAATATTAAATTTCATTTTGAATGAAGTGAAAAAAAACGTTGGTTAGAATTATTCGTATTTTATTATAACTTTGTTCCTACAATTACTATATTGTTTGCTATATCACATACATATACGTATGTATACATATATATACGTATATATACATATATATGTGTGTTTTCGAAAACATAACTGTTAATATATACAGAGTGTATCGAAATAACATGTACAAGCAAGCATGGAATGATTATCCATAAAAAAATAAGCCAAAAATATACAATAAAATTTTTTTATTCGAGTTCGAAAATGTAGATTTATTTTTTCATGAGGAATTATTCCGTGCTTACTTGTTATTCTGACACACTTTGTATATACATATATGACATACATAAGGCAATTTAAGCCTCTACAGGCTATAAACATCTTCGTGCGTTGTCTTGTCATGATTGTTTGTAATGTTCTATCATAAAAATACAGATAATAATATATTATGTTATAATATTTGAAAAAATGTTCAATTTCAATTGGACCATAGGTATACATCAATAAGAAAAAGGAAATAAAAATATATATATATATTTGAATCTCGTTTTCTCTGGTTTTTTTCTTGTTTAATACTGCATCGATAAATAAATATCTTGTGGATTGTTAAAATTATATTAAAAATAAGCTAGTCTAGGTGTATATACCTAGAATGAATAAATGAGCATAAAATTTGTGTCTCAAATCTTGCTAGAGCGAATGAAAAACAGTTCTGTCTTTTGTATTCATTTTAAAGCATCTCTAAAGAATCTAGAGAATCGACACATCCTTATTTTCACTTCTTTTTTTATTTTTTATCCATCTTTTTATCTTCTTTAGGCTGTGTTCATTCTGCTAGATTATATATCACAGACTATCCATTTGCAGTTGGGAAAAACATTTACTAGAAAAACTCTTATGTTGCAATACTTCTACTAACGTGTCAGTGCAACTATGAATAGTTTACAGAATATTATAATTTAATTAAATTACTCGTATGTACACACAAGGAATTCTAAATTTGTAACTCGTATCGTTTGGTCTATATATAAATCGTCATACATAGAATATTAGATAACAACACATACCGTTTTTCTTATTTTTTTTGTTAAATGTAATATGTATAATACTGCAACTGTGCATGTGTACGAATACTGTGATTGTTCTGGAACCATTTGTATGTTTCAATCGTTGCGAAATTATATAAGAAACAGAATAGGTCATAAACAAAGCACCTTTTTCTCTTTTTTGTATATCTAAAAATAATTCTTGAATTTAATCAATACTTCTGTTTCTTGATTTTGTTTGTAATTCTAAGAATTTACTTGCTAGTATATTACCGTCAAATGTCTAGACTTTACAATAATTACTAGTTTGCACATTATACATATTTTCAAAAAAAAAACTCACGTTCTCTTCGCAAAACCCATCTTGCTATTATGTATTAATGTGCTGCTTTATTTCAATCAGCAATAGTAACATTGTTTCATTAAACTACTAACTTTAGGTAATTCTTTATATATACATAATTGACTACAAAGCTTCATTATTCAGCTTGCTGCATCAACAAATTTTTGGTCTACAATATTTGCAGATATACAAAGGTTGCAGGTATACAAATGAAAAGTTTGTAATATATTTATATGTTACAAATAAATAAAACCATAAAAAATAGAAAAATTTGTTTATACAGCAAACGTTGGAGCTTCAAAGAATACTGGGATTAAATTTCATTGTATAAGCATATACATATTTCTTTCTTCTCTTTTTTTATCTTTTTTTTTTTTTTTGTTTTTTGATAAATCCACAATTTCTAATGTCTAAATGCAACGCTAGGATTTCTTTGGTAAAATCCATAAAAAGGCTGTCGCGATCAAAATTTCGTATAAATATGCCGAAAGCATAGCGAATAGATAATAATCAGTTCATGTAGGCTTCCATTAATGTAGAATAATAGAAAATTTCTTTGTAAGTAGACACACACAAGTGGATTTGCTGCTGATTAAAAATTGACCACATTGTACTTTGGGAAATAATTTGTAAATTTTTTCACGTGAAAGAATACACAGAGAGTATCTTATCGATCAATCTTTCGCACGAAATTTTTGTTAGCAAGATGGCAGTAATTGAAACTCGAAAAACAATGAAAAATATTCAAACACGTGCGTCAAGATGTTTGACGTGGTGATACTCTGATTTAGAAAATACTAAAGAGTAACAAAAACAGATATTCAGAAACTTCCTATGCAAAAGTGTTCCTATATCGCGTGGTTTTTAATTCTTTATCCGCTACTAGACATTTAGATTTCCGACTATCTTCAAAAAAATTACAAAGCTATCAGCTTAGATTGACACGAACTCCATCTCTCTTGCAATTTTCGTTGCTGCTCTACATGGTGGTCTGAGAGATTTCTCGACAGTCCTACTTGTCCTGTCTTCAGTTTCCTAGGATCCAAATTTGCTCCTAAAGTTTGGACACCTTTAGCAAATTTCGAGAAAGGCGACAAAATATCTTTGGCAGTAGATGCCACAGGACTTGTTACGTTTGGTATGTTGGTCTTTATCGACTTCAGAGCAGACTCGCTCTGAGACGATGTAATATTCAGACTTAAATCTTGCTCAGACGTGGATCTCTTCTTATCTTGCAATCTATTTTCAGTTTGCAATTTGTTTCCATTTATATTACTAAGTGCTATCTTGCTATCAACCTCTCCAGTCGAATGACTAATGTTTTTGAATAGATTCAACGTCGATGGCGGTAACAACCTTTCCTTATCCTCAGTCACGTTTTGTATAGTTATTTCAGGTGTCTTTTGAGGAGACGCGCTAACAGTACTGGTTCCAGAGCCGGACTGTGGCACGTGTAACGCTTCCCTATCGGAATTCTGTTCAAACAATTTGTTAGGTTGTATGGATAAATTTTGTTCTTCGTTGTTCTCATGCGATTCTATTACGTCTGTATTCTTAACACCCATTATAATGCCAATAGATGGGGTATAAGCTTCCATTAGATTCTTATCATGACTGAAATTCTTTGGTTTTTCTAAAGAAACACGAGGGATGTCAACATCCTCATCGTCGCTACTGCTACTGCCGCTACCACATTTTCCTTGCACATTGCCTGATATATCTCTACTTCCAACTGTGAAAGTAGGCTTCGAAGGTTCCTCAGATTTTCTGCCGATGCTTCTTGCAATGTCAATTGGCTTCCTAGTACTAAAGCTATGACTTAATTTATTCAGTTTACTAAATTGCTCAGACATGTTGTTTAAAGCTTTTGTTCCTACAATCACGTAAGATATTTTGCGTTATTATTAATTATTAGAAATATAGATTCTTTTATTAAAAGCATACCTGCGCTTTTTAGAGCTAGCAATTGCGTCTCTGAAACATTTCTGGTTAATTCTGGAAGTGATGAAATGTCCAACAGACCCGTGGTTCCCTTGCTGTTCACTATTTTACTCTTTCGTCTATCTAACGTAACGTTCATCGCTATAGGAATCTTTGGTAATCTGGCTATCTCCATCGCCACAGAGATAGCCTCGCAAATTGATTTTAAAGACTCTGAAATACACGAATCAACGTAGTATAAAAGATTAATTATTACAGATCTAATAAAAATGATATTCTACCTATGCTTTCTTCTTCGGTCTTTATAACAACAGCCATGTTATTAAAAAATCGTAAATTTGTACTGCGAAACATGTGAAAGTAACCACATTCGTTGACTACCTTGTAGTTTATTCTAATGCAATAAAAATGCTTATTTTTAAAAAGGGAGACCGAACTCTCTGGCTGACCAAATTCAATCAGTACAATGTCTTCAAGCGAAACTCTTTGATAATTTGTGACTTTATCGATTTGATCGTCATAATCAGCCACGTAATAGCTATCTCGTGTTAATATTAGAATAGTGTCCATTTCTGTCTCTGTTAAGTCACCAGTCCTGTTAAAATGAAATAAATTATAAAAAAAATAATTCTTAAATATTACAAAAATTAAAAAAAAGAAACAAAAATATGAACGTCCAACGTACACAGGATCAGCATCTATGAGTCCCCAACTGCCTAAAATAACTTCTGGGTCAGGTATAAGCAATTTCTTACAATCCTCTATCAATAACTTCACGTGAATCGCTGTAGCAGCATTATCTTCTTCCTCTGTGCGTTCTTGAAATACTTCTTCGTTCACGCAGTTCCCTAACATCAAATCGATCGTACCCTGTCTATAGACATCCTTGAAGCGATTTAAATAGTATCTGAAAGTACACGAGTTTCCTAAACTGTTGCTTTAAAGCTATGTACAAAAATTAAGAAAAAAAGAAAAAAGAAAATGAAACAAAAAATGAAGATAGGACACTGTCGTAAAGGGATCAGGGATTAAATTGTTTCTCTCAGAATTGTTAAAATCAAACTGAGAGTTAAGCAACCATCATGCAAATAAGAAAAGAAATCACGTGCAACGCAACTTCAAACTGATTATAATATGTGGAGTCACAGTTCTAGTACAGAGTGTCGTTTTGTATCGTTGTTTGTTGATAAAGCAACAACTGATTTATAGTTTTTAAAATAATACACTTTATTTATCGAAAAATTTTCAACCCAAAGCCAAGAACGAACCTTGCCAAATCATACATAGCACTGGCATAAAGAATATCAGGATAGGTGGCAAGTTGAAGCTCTATGTTTGGTGGTTTCACGGGTATTAGCTCAAGGCAGCAATTATCAAGGATGTCTAAATAGTGCGACCAATCGGTATTCAGTTGATTAACATCGACAGGGTTCCCTAGCAAGGTATCTATCGCCGCTTGACGTATGTCATCCATAAAGTGTTGCTGAAAATATCTATGGGAAAATGAAAGGAAAGTGTCAAGGATCTATGTATGTATAAAATATGTCAATATTTAAGCGATGACCTTGATTAAAGAAAAAAAAAAAAAAAGAAAAATGTCGAGTGTTATTGATTTCTAATGACGATACTAAGAGCTTTTAACATTTTATTCATTCTAAGAAAAATTACAACACCTAATGGTTTATGTGTTTGCGAAATATCTTGTATAATGAAAGATAATCGCAAAATGATGTATCGTGTAGGATATGTGAATGATAATGGTGTTCTATTGCAATGCAATGGGTGGTGTATTATAATTGTGATCCAATTGTACCTGTTCGCAGAATTCATGCCATCTTTCATTAAACCGGTAAATTTTCTTTCCCCTGTTCTTGTGTAATCACCCTATAAGCAATAAAATAACTACTATCATAGTTCAGCCATGTTATAATCGACGAGTTTTGCTTAATGGTTAATTTGTAATCGTTAGGGTAAAATCAGTGTGTGCTCTACGTGCGGTACGAACCTTGAGAGCATTTGTACCAGCATATTGTTTACTGATAATGTCGCCGTTATTTGCCCAAAGCAATTGAAACGTTTGTCGGATATTTGTCGGTAATGTTCCGTCCGGCGGTATTAGTCCTAGCTTTGAAAACTGCATTTCCATCACAGCTTTACCCAAAGCGGTTTGCACCACGTTCGTTCTATCTAAACAGTCTATGCAATTCACCCGAAACACTCCTTTCTGCATGCAGATTGTGCCTTGCTTATCGTGCCAACAGTACCCTATATCTGTCAATACTGTAGCTAATGCATTGACCAGGATAGAGACATTTTCAAAATGCATTCCTCGACTGTGTTAGGTATAAAAGAATATTTAGCGACAGTTTGTGATAATTCATTAGTGTGTACAAAGCATTTTAACTGCTTACCAGTATTCATGGAAATCGAAAGTTGTATATGTTATATCTGGATGATTATAATTCAGTACATGGTTACTATAGGCCTCCCAAATTATTTTCTCCTTGCCAGTTTGCTCTACGAGATTCACGATACAAATTGGACCGTATAAATCCAGTTCTTCAGTAAAATGTTTTTCGAATGCAACTTGTGTTTCTGCTTCATCTGATGGATTGAAAATCATTATTATAATAATATTAAGATCAGAATGAATTTTTTTTTCTTTTTGCTAGTTACCTCTGTCTATACGTGGTGGAGGTTTATATTTATAGCCAGGTTGAGACCAGTATACTGGTACACTGCCTCGTACTTGAACGAAAGATACCTGATGATCATGATACCAAACCAATTGCTCTGTTTCTACATAGTTTGCGCATTTTCCTTCGTCATCCACACCACGTCGCTTATATCTTTATTGTGGTAGAAAGATAAGTTACCAAACAAATTGATATATAAAATACATAGGATAATAAAAATAAAAAAAATTACCTCGTTCCCGCGCGAAATCTACTTCTTCTTGATATTATTGCTAGATTGAAAGTTTCATGATGTGGTTGTTCATCAATGCCCACTTCTACTTTGCACTTCTCTATTTGCACGTATCCTTGAATAACTGGTAATATCCATAGATTTGCTTTATCTGTCTGCAAAAATGAAATAACTTCTTGATAATAAGTACCTAGCAACATTATCTAAAAATTCAGAAGGATCTTAACTTTTAAATTAATTATATCCTGCAACATGTGTTTGTTCCAAAAAAACCTATCATCCACCTTTTCCCAAAGCGGTTTATTCTGTTCTTTGTCATTCTGTTGGGACTCAGTGACACAAAGCCTCTGCAGGCTATTAGTGATATCACCAGTTTGACAGAAATAAAAGGAGTCGGTTTCAGTGAAAATTTTATTTAATTCTTCCAATATTCTTTTCTCAAATCTCTCCTTATCTTTAACAATATTTCTTTTACTCACTGTGGACTTCACCTGCAATCAGTTTTGTTAATACAAAAACATCCTTCTTTATATAAATGATTTTTTTTTTTACTTTTAATTAACCATAGGAGGCTTACTTGAGATGTTGCAAGTGCAGCTGCTTGTTGAGTGGTATTTTTTATGGTGTTTGTAGCACTTTTAATGGTTCCCCAAGTTTTAGCAAAGGCTGCCTTCTGTGGCACATCAAACAGACCACCTTGGCTTTTTTTCTTTGGCAAATTCTGATGCTTCTTACATGGCAAAAGTCCAATATCATTATTTTCACTGCCAAAGTGCAAAAATGCGATTGATTTGATCTTGTATATAACATGACCTCCATATAATTCTCCAGCTGGTGAAACGTCTTTGATCAACATTAAACGTGCTTCCAATACAGATGGTTGTTCTATTTTTCCTATGATTCCATAAAATATCCCAAGACATTCCAAATCTTTCGGAGAGGCCCACTCCCAATCTGCAAATAATTTGCAAATGATGAAATCTTATGAAAATATCAATATTCAGTTTCAAATCATGCAATACTGTATTGCACCTAATTGCATTAATTAGATTGTGGCTTTCACATGTTTATATAATTCATAATCTGTAGCTATTGCAAAATCTCACGTACAGAACAGCCTTTTAAGGTATTCTTGCACTTTGCATTATTTCAATAACATTAACTTAATTATGACTTGATAAAATTCTTATTTCATCAGGTACTGTCGCGAAATCGAATTCTTAAATAAAGATCGTTTCGGTTACGTTTCACGGAAAATCGAACGTGTTCTAAATAAGAACAATGAACTGAGAATCACAACGTGTATCGTATACTTGACACGAATGTATATACCTGTCAAATGAGAATCGTATACCCACCCGATTTAGCGGAGAACTCTCCCGTATATTTGTCACACCACAAGCTGTGTCTTTCTTTCACGAAAATGAAATGCGTATCGGTACGGAACAATTCCATGCTTCTGATTTTCCCACTGTACGGCAATTTCTACGCAGCATGTGGAACGTCAGTTCTCCACCTTAAAATCCGCCTATGACGGACACTTCGCCATCTTGCTCGCGTACGAGACTGACAATGGGTTGGTTTCGTTAACTATATTTTCGATCAAAGAGCAGATGGCGATTGGATAAAGGATTAATTATATATCTTATAACATCTAGAACTCCAATTGATAATAATTTCCAATGTTTAATGGTATTTTATAAAATCCAATATTTTCCTATAATTTGGCACTAATCAGATTTTGATTTAATCTAGTAGATTCTAAAAATCGTTAAATAATTTTGCTAGTTCAAAATTTGTATATTTCCACGTTAATTATAAAAAAAAAAGAATAAACGTTTCGTTATTTGAAATACATAAGATTTATTTAGATGATCTGTGATTACATATTTTATATGTTTCACAATAACTGATAAGTACATCATAAATACAAAGAAGCGTGTGAAAATATGCGAATAACGATTAGTTAACGTTATCATTGATATCAACTTATACTGTTCATGGAAGAATATTTGAAAGATATCTTTTCTATACACACTGTGTCCTTCTTCCAAACAAATTTAAATCGTTGCTGGCGAACTCGCGATACTCGATGGATTTTGTTTGAAATATATCTCTTGAGTAATGAAAAGATCCATAAAATTTAACAAGCATTTAACATCCTTAAAAAAAAAAGTGACAGTTACTCGCTCCTTCCTTCATTTCCTTCTTTACTTTTCTTTTCTTCTTTGGTTTTGTCAATTATATATTCTTGCCATTTTCTGTGATTAAGTGTTTGAAAATCATCCACTTTGGCTATTAATTTTAGATACTGAGACAACTTTAGCAACTCCCTATCTTTTCTTCTGGTAATATGTGCATGTCTAAATGGTTTTATTTTTAATCCTGACTGTGGATTCATAATAAAGTTCCTTCTGATATCGTCGAACATGATTGTGTTTTTTGCAGAGAACTGTTTATATTTGCCCCAAATAATAGCCAGTGGTTTTGCTGTGATAGTACCATATTTTGATGTATGGACATTGATCATAGCATTTGAGTCAAGATGACATGCTATTTTATAATAGGGATTGCTAGAAACACCAAGCACTTTCATTTTCTCATTGATCCATTTCATACTAGTTGCTGACCAAATTACTATGTCATAATTTAGGTAAGCCAAGGTTAGAAACTGATGAAGAAATGGACGCATCAATTCCACACCACTTTCTGCTGTTGATTTAGGGTCGAAAATGGTGTAGTCTATATCTAGCACCAGTAGTTTTTTTCCTTCTCTGAAGGGATTTAATTCTACAAACCTATACAAACCAATTCTACACTGAATTTGAAATAAGCACAGCTTAACATTCTCTATTTCTATTTCTTCTTCCTCAGTCTTAAAGTCATTAATTACATCAGGTAAATCTTTTGGCGCGTGACACACTTTAGCTATGTCTTCTTCACGAGATCCCATCAGCATTAGCTTGAATCCAGGCTTCATGCCCAAGTCCCTTAGGATCTCCTCTTCTTGACATGCCTTGTCTGGTGAAAAGAGAAATTCTATAGACACTTGATGGAGTTTTAAACGACATACAGTCAAACGTGTCAAAACGTTATAGAAGGATAATTTAAAATCAAAGTAGAAGTCGTTTGAGAAAATTTTATTTGAGAATTAACAACAAATCTCGAACAATGCGTGTGATTGTACGTAGAGGAAAATAAAAGAAGAGAAGCTCATGAAAACAGTTCAAAACATAACCTTTGGTTCGAAGGTTCAAAAGTTTTTGACGTTCCGGGAGGATGCTTGTTTCCTTGTATATTCGTTCTTTCAGACCACGAACGGTATCGTCCAGGTTCACGTCCGGGATTTCGATTTTTTTCCTGCCCCATACTATGATGATCTTCCCTACATTCTCCATTTTTTTTCGAAAATAATGACGCGACACCAGACGATGTGTACTACGAAGTAGTCGAACGTACACAATTCTATTAGATTCTGTATATGTATACAAAGGACATTGTGGAATATGAACAATCTAGTATACACGCTGTATCTTTGTGTCGATACTGTAACGTGAAGTTCATCCTCCACATAGATGGCGTCGAGGTAGCTGGATAAGATGGTGCTGCCATCGCAGTGATGTTAAAAATTATTTAACACGCTTACTATATTTTATTCTTATTCTCATCAATTATCAATTAATATTCTAGTCATTTTTAAATAAACGATAATTACCAGCTACATTTATACATGCGTATCGATATATTGATTTGTGTGCTCAGTCGGTCACTCACATTTGACAAAGAAATAAACAAGTATATTTAAATTTTTGCCACAGACTATTACTTAAATAGCTGTTTGCATTTTAAAAAAATGGTTAGTTATAAAATTTAAACTCTCGTAAATGAAAAGAAAGAGCCTTTAATCATTCACTTAAGGGATGAGAGAATGTAGTTGAAGAAGGATAAAATAATGAGGATGGAGAGAAAGGGAGGAAGGAAGGAAGGAAGGAAGGAAGGAAGGAAGGAAGGAAGGAAGGAAGGAAGGAAGGAAGGCTAAAAAGAACGAAGGAAGATATTCTTTTATCTTTTCCTTGTCTTGTTACAAATTCGTGAAAAATCTGAAAGAAGAAAAATTGCTGTCTCCATCCTCTCTTTTCAGCCCTTAAAAACGCGATTCGTTTCGTACGCGAAATTTTACATCGACCAAGAGTGAGAACCTTTTTACGAACTTGTTTCCTTCTTCCGGCTGAACGAACTCTTACACGACCCTCGTTTCCTGTGTTGCGCTCCCTTTTATATGCGTGTATTTTTGCGAAACAAAAGATGGAAAGTTACACAAGAGTGCATGGGACGAAGAAGTTGTTTCCTCGAGTTCATTCGAGAAATTGCTTCATATACCGAGTTTGTAACAGTCGATGCTCTGTTTCACCTGTTATGCGAGGAAGATACTGTAAAAACGTAGCTACATAGGTGCTATATCCACGAAATCCTCTTCACATCAATCTTTCATAATCCAGAACTAATAAATTATTATTAATTAAAATTTTATGAAACTATTATTGTCATCAATTAATTTTTCTTTTGTCCCGTCCCAAATTTTTATGGTATACAAAACTTTATCACATGATTATTCAATAAAAAAACCAGTTTAAAGTTCAACATAAGAAAAGATCTTCATAAGCGGTTAAGAAAGTTCAAACATATTCCAAATATACAAAACATAATTACCAAATAATTTTCTTCACGTTGTTTCACACATCCTCTCTTCCTCCCATCTTCCATACGACGCGTGTGTTCATCGCGCCATAATGATCTAACAATGTGCTTATCGGGCAATAGAAGTTACGATACATTGGTTAGGTTTCAGTGTCGTTCAACGAATAGGTTAATGTCGATGATTGGGTTGAGAGTTAATATCAATGATGACGGCCTTTATTATCATGACGCGGTTTCAGGACGGCTACAACGATGAGTTATAACTGGCCATGTAGTTTGTGTAACCGGCCACTTCGGTATAGTGAACTGGACTTTAATATCCGACTGTATCCGACCTTTTCGTTATTAAGCGGATATATCCGTCGCGAGGGATTATTTCTTGTTTGGTTTTGCACGATTTATCACTGTGAAAGAGCTAGGCGAGAGGAGAAGAAAAAAAGGAAACGAGAAAAAGAAAGAAAGGAAGCGTTATACGTGTCACGTTATCATTTATGCTTAGTTTGTTGGTTTTTCTCTCTCTTTACTTCGTTCTCCCTTGGGACGAGCGATTCTTTGAAAAAAAAAAAAAAAAAAAAAATTGTCGACGGATCGGAAATAAATGGGATAATCCGCGCTCGATTCGGTACTGAGTGGTTGCTGCAACAGAGAAGAATATTTTTCTTTTTCTTTTGTTTTTTTGGAGGTGACAACGAGGCATGTTAGATTTCGTGATTTGGGTCGAGAGCAGATTTATTTATAATTTCTGCCTACGTGAGACGTAGCTTTTACATAATTTTTGTTATTATTTATAGAAATAATAGACAATAAAGTGATAAAAGGCAGACTTTATCTATAATGTTAAAAATCCGAGACATAAGTATTCAAATGTTCAGAATTATCGTATGAATGTAAAGTACATAGATGATTGAGTATTTTTCAGGATTCAGCATATGGTGAATTCTTATGAAAATGATTTACACTGATTAGCTTTAACTGATTGACTAATATAGGGAATTGTGTATCATCTACAAATCATAGTTAGAAAATACCTTCACACAAACTATTTATTGCAAATCTCAAAGAAATCCACAATGAAAGAAACTGGCACAGAATGAAGTAAAAATTCCACCTTGTACTTCTCAAATAACGGAGCCTGCAAATAAGACAATTATCGCGCATTTCAAACGTACACATACATCGAAACATATAGACAACCTAAAGTCTATAGACAAAGAAGAAAAAACACAAAAAAGAAAGGAAGAAAGAGAAAGTTGGACGTCGAGGGGTTAAAAGAAGATTTCCCTCGTTCAATCCGTACAGACGTGCGGATAGGTTTCTTGGTATATTTGAAAAGGAGGGGCGGCAAGGGTCAGCGTCGTTTTCTCTCGACGTTTTTTAACGCGATTCAATTCCGTTCTTTTAATTGGAAGCAGATATAAGTTGGCGGGCATGTGGGTCAGCACGATGGGGCGAGTAAATAAAAGGACAAAACGGATGAAAGAGAGGGTTAGAAGAGAGGATGGTCATGATAAGTTCACCGACAGAAAGGGACGAGGGCTGTTGCTGTTTGTTGGAATGCTGCGAGGCATTTCGCCGTGGAATTCTATAGGAGGCTCAAAGTGGCA